ACAAGTCCTAAATGACATATATAGACACATATTGACATGAATATAGTGTTTATAAAAAAACTATATTAAAGGAAACACCTTCTGGGACTAGGAAACACCTTGAATAAGTGTTAGAATCACATGTGATTTAACAAAGGGAAGTGAAAAGGCACCAAATGGTGTTTACGGTTTTGGGACCAACTCTAATTGAGTTTACAGTCATAACCCAATGAGTTTACGGCCGTAAACTCATGTCCTTTTGACCATTTTGTGCTTTCAAGTCCTAGAAGTCATTTTGAAGCATCCTAACTTAAAGTCTAAGCCTTAGCAAGTGATTAGGGCAATAATTCACTCCTAAATGGAGTTTACGGCCCATGGACCATTTTTCCATGTGTTTTCTGCCGTAAACTCACATGGATCTTGGTATTTTGATGTTTTCGAGTCTTAAAGACTTAAAGGTAAAAGTCTAGGCTAGTTTCTAGGCTTAAGGAAGAAATATGGGGCATCAAAACACGCCTTGGGGTGTTTACGGTTTTGGGAGATACCCAAACCGTAAATACATAAACTGGGGTCTTTTGGTGGTTTTTATGTGCTAGACACATCAAGGTAACATTCTAGGTTTGATCCCAAGGTTTTTAAGGACATAGGGCACACTTTGGCACCATATTTAGTGTTTACGGTCCAAGAAGATCTTGGGCCGTAAACACCTTGTCCTTGTGATTTTTGGAGGATTTCAATGATATCTAGGCAGGTAATACACTTTAATACACTCTATGGTTGAAGTACTTACAATTTGGGATGAACGATTGAAGATCCTTGGGAGAGAAATCGGGTTTTCTCTAGGTGAAATGGATGAAAATGAACTAAAAATGGCTAACTCTTACTTATATAGCCTTTAGGGTTTACGGTCCCAATACCATTTTGGACCGTAAACTCCAAACTATTGAAGTTTTGGGAACTTATTGCTACATAATAAACCCTAGGGTATCCTCTCTCCTGATATCTCTTGATGTACTAACTTTAAAATACTCAAACTTATCCCAAAAAGTTCGAAAGTTAGCAGAATCCGTTTTGACTCCTATTGAAGTGAATGGTTGTACAGAAAAGAAATTTCGGGTTGTCACACCTTAATTAACCATTTAAATGTTTTTTTAAATGTTTATAAATGCTTTATGGGGGGGGGGGGGGGATAGAAGTTGAATCGTGTTTAGTTATTATATCAATCACATGTGATTAATAAATAGCATGCAAATGGATTTACTATACGTTAACTGTTTTACCAAACAGATTTCTTCAAATGACTTTCTTAAACATTTTTACATGTTTAAAACTCTTTATAAAACTGTCTTACACACTATAAGTTTCCTTTCAAAGTCTGTTACAAAGGTGTTTTCAAACAAAGGTTTTCCTAATACTTGAACTGTCTTATCAAACAAAATACTTTCAATCGTTTTATAAACTAACATCAGGTCATCGTTTCTTAGTATTAAACTATTCAAAGGTTTTACGAAACTTATTTTACGCTTTTATATTGTCAAATGGATGCCTAGATATGTATAGTTATATAAATAATGTTTAAAGGACTTAAGACGGTTAGCTCGCTTTATTTCCTTTTCCTTGTTGGGATGTGGCCTTAGGGCATTGATTGCTCGTCTGAATGGCGTCTAAATACTATTTATATATCATGTGTACATATATAGGTATAAAGGTTCCATTAGTCAGTTCAGCACCTTTGGGTAGAAAAAGTACACTTCCGGTTATACTCGTACATTACTAATAACTATAATAGGTATAGTTAGAAGATACTACTTACAATTCCAAGTACAAGGAATCACACAAGAGTCAGTTCATTCATGAGTCTATACATTTATATATATACGTTTACATGAATATGTTTACATATATATGTTATATGAATATGTTTACATATATACGCTTACATGAGTACATTTACATAGATACACTTATATGAGTACATTTACATATATACTTTATACAGATACGCTTACATGAACACGTCTACATTAATACATTTAATAGATACTATTACATAGGATCTGTTACAAATGTTTCGGGACTTACCATTGTACACCCAAAGCTGGTAGCTACAGTAGGGAAAATGATGATCGACGAGTGTCTACGGTTGTACTGTTCAGCGCGTTTCCACACCGTGAATATCCTAATGCAAAAAGATACATCTTTAGTTATTATATTATTCTCCTTCCTTTATTTCGTGACACATTCACATGAATGAAGAGGTAGGATTTTTTATATATATAAACTATTTTTCCTTATTACCTTTATATTGTGACTCATACACATAATCGACGAGGTAGACTATAATTTTTATAATAATAGTTAAACAGGGAAAAACCGTCACATTACAGTGATGCTTACTTTCAAAACAGCCGAGTCTTGGTAGAAGACTACTTTTATACTAGTAGGAAATATAGGATTTCCTAGGTTTTCAAACGTTTACAATTTCTTAAAAACATTTTCCAACTTTTTCCAAATGTTTAGTCTTTACTTTACAGTATTTACAAATCAAAGACACATTAATACTTATGAATTCACCAGATTTATTGCTGATACTTGCTTTCAAAATAACTTGTATTCTCAGTTCACAAATAGACAGGTACGACGACCAGGTTTTGTGAAGACGGAGGAATCAAGACTCCTTTTTTATTTTGATTATTTATTATGTTGTCTTATACTATGAAAGAACACTCTTGTAATTAAAATTATACTATTAATGCAATGGATGATGTTGTTTCTTGTTTGCTACTTTACATTATTATGATACAATATATGACGTCCTCCGCCGCAGAACGTTTCCACCGTTCTCGGTTTTGGGGTGTGACAAAATGCTAGATAAATCCCAATAAACCCTAAATCAAAACCAAGCTAAATCCACAGTCACAAAAAACCCTAAATCAAAACAAAGCTAAATCAAAATTAATCCTAACCTAAAACGGAAACGTAAGTGGAACTAAACCGGAAAAAAAACTTACTTGAAACGGTGATAACGATGGCGATGGCAAGCAGGCGACGACAAGCAGATGACGGCGGCGGAAAGAAGTAACTCTGGCAGAGTAAGCTTCAACGGGTTGAAAAAGAAGAAGAGAAGATCGAAGAAGAGGGCGTGAGTGGAAGGATCGAGTAAGAAACTGTGAACGAGAAAAAGGGAAACGAATGAAGAAATTAGATTGAGTAAGAAACTCTGAACGAATGAAGAAAGGAGATAGAGAGAAAAAGAAAGAAGAAAGGAGTTAGAGGGAAGCGGGATTAAAGAATTTCATCTATGAAGCTCGCTAAAATGGAGGCGGAATTTTTTCAGGTGAAAAATGAAACCTAAAATTTCATCTATGAAGCTCGCTAAAATGGAGGCGGACAATATTATTATTATTATTATTATTATTATTATTATTATTATTATTATTATTATTATTATTCTTACTATAATTATAATTATTATTATAACTTTTATAATTATAATTAATATTAATATTAATATTATTATTATTATTATTATCATTATGATTATTGGTGGTGGCGGTGATGATGATGGTGGTGGTGGTGCTGCTACTGATGATGATGATGATAGTGGTGGTCGTGGTGATGATGATGATGGTGATGGTGGTGATGATAATGAAGATGGTGGTGGTCATGGTGATGATGATGATGATGATGGTGGTGGTGGTGGTGATGATGATGATGATGATGATGATGATGATGATGGTAGTGGTCGTGGTGGTGGTGATGATGATGGTGGTGGTCGGTGATGTGTGTAAAATGCACGGGTTTTATTCCTACTTTTAAATTATAAATTTAGCACACAAAGGCAGTGAACCTATCTTTTAATGGTATAGTTGGATAAGTAGAGTGTCGAAGTCAGGGAAGGAAAATTAAACTAATAACTAATTTTAACTAAACAAGTAATAAAAGTAAAGGTTTTTCTCTAGTTTTACAAGACTAGAAACTTAAACACACCACCTAACAAGTGATTAACTAAACAACTAAAAACAAGTAAAAATTCGCCAAATTTGATAAAGAGTTTATGTTTAGGTCCAACCAATTCACTCCTATGGTTATTTGTATAATAAAATGATAAATTAATTGTTATTGGTTACCAGCTGTAGTGGTTAGATTCATGTTCACTATTACTAACCCTTAGAGAATTAATCAATTCAAGCAGTGGCCAATTGTTTAAACTAATTAATTCCCTAGTTCAATTATTTGGATTAAATAAGATTTGTAATTGGTTAATCAAGTTGGTGATTCAATTAACCTCTTGTTTGTTGGTTTCTCAAACAAGCTCACACATTAATTTACCCATTCTCTAATTAATCCTAGTTTCATGTTCATTATTCCTAGACATATGATAAAGTGTTCACATAAACATATGTGACAACCCGAAATTTCCTTTTGGTCCACTACTAGAAAAACAGACTTTTACGACGCTCATTGCGCGTCGTAAAAGGCTCAGACAACGCGCAAATGCGCGTCAAGGAAGGCCCTGTCATAAAGAGAGACGACACACATTTACGATGCGCAATTACGACACGCGTTTACGACATGCAATGCGTATCAAGGAAGGCCCTGTCATAAATGAAGACGACACGCATTCGCGTGTCGTAACCTTACGACGTGCGTGTTAATGATACGCAATGCGTATCAAGAAAGCCCCTGTCAAGAAAGGCCATGTCATAAATGAAGATGACACACATTTTTGCGTATCGTAAATTTGAATATTTAAATATATATATATATATATATATATATATATATATATATATATATATATATATTTATATATTTATTAATTTTTAAATTAAATTTGCATTTAATGTGTCATAATAGAAATAAAATACCATATACAAAAAAAAATACAATCCATTGAATAAACTTTAATGTCATACAATTCTATTTCTTACAATATATAAATTTGCATTCATCTAATCTACTCTAAGTTTCATACTAACAATTGAAATGAAGAATACAACACTTACATTTTCAGCATCTTATCTCTTGCGGCTTGAGCTTTCTTTTCCACTTCTAACTCGAGAGCTATTCGCTTTCATCAACCCTGTAAACACAACACAAAATCACTTGTCATTTTCATTCGCTTTCCAATTTCCGTTGTGTGTTTTCCTATTTCCTTAGTTTATGTACAATGGAGTAAGCAAGTGTGTATTGAAGCACCTTCCATGTAATAGTACCCCCTTAACCAATACTAGTATCAGAACATAAAGCACCTTTCTACACAAAAAACAACAATAGGTCAACAAAGACTCAACATTATCTAAAATACTATATGAACCTTCTCAAGTGATGCACATGGATCAAGAATCCCCTGAATTACAATTTATAATTTACAACAAAAACACGAACTGATTGAGTCAACTTTAACATATGACATATCAATGTGTTAAGGATTGAAGAGATTAAATCAAACCTTACTTTGATGACAAACCCAATTCAGTGTCACCCGATTGGAAAACACGCAAATATATCTCGTCTCATTTCACCTCCAAAATCAACAAATTCAAATATCCATGGTTTGGACCTAATAACATGGGAATACAAAAATACAAATAATATTTAATAACATTGTCCCAAATATAAAACAAAAACAAGAATTAATATTTGTTGAAGCCTACTCACTTTGGGACAAACGTAATGTGACAATTGAGTAAAAAAGATCATAATAGAGTGAGCCCACTTTTATATATTTGTGTCAACTGACATTGATCAAATAGCCACTCATATATGATAACATATCAATATATGATAATATGATATGATATAATGCTGACTCACTTTTACCTTTTACCTTTTACCGATTACCATACTAAAAGTCATACACCCCACCCATGCAAACCTATAAACACCCGAGTTCACCACCAACAGGTAACAAAATACCGTAAATACCCCTCGTGACAAAACGTAAGGGAAACACAGAGCTGTTAGTATCTTCATCACAATCGAGATCACAATCTCCCACAGCATCCAAACTACCTGTAGCCGAGAGAACCCGTTTTCTCCTACCCTCTCGAATTTCATATGTGAATTGCATTCTAATGTACAGAATAAGCTCATCAGATAACTTAATAATGATTTTATAAATAAATCCAATAAGATGAGAAATAAAGAACATGTTTGTGTGTCCTTATCTTTTGTAGTGCATACTGATATTTATATCCCCCACACCATCAATAATGGATTGCTTTTCATCATCCTTTTTCATTGATTCCTTCTTCTGTAACTCTTTCACTTTGCGATATTCATCATAGTGCACCTTTCTTTTCTCCCTAACGCTTCTTGCACTCTTCCTACCTTCATCATCTGAACCCTCATCATATCATCAGTTTAATTTTTTTTTGAATAAAAGAAAAGCAAAAGGGTGAAGATGAAGGAAGTAGGAAGAACCTAGATCATGATCCATGACATCTGCTTCATCTTCATCATCTGAAGATGTCCATCCAGAATGGGAGTTACTGTTGCTACTAGAAGATGCCATCTCATTCAGTGTTGAATGAATTGCATCAGCATTCAGTCTGATGTTGCTGTTATCATCTCCTTCAAGGAAACTATCATAGCCCCTAATAGGAGATAAAGATCCTAAAACAAGTCAACAACACTTGAATTAATTTACATAACAAATTAATAATTAATTTAAATTTAATGGAATGTGGGATATGTATAATACCATCAGTATCATGCATCATAGGATGATATGGAGTTTTGGGTTCTTTGATTTTCTGTCTTACATGTTTATTTGCTTCAATTTCACCAAGGTTGGCTTCATCCCATCTAAAACCTCTCCTACGGATTTTTAAACAACAATAAAAAAAAATATTAATATTATTTTAGTATGGATGTACTTATACGTTATAGAACAGGAAAAATAATTATATTTCTAAAACCAATATTTTCCAAACAAAAAACAAACAACTTCATTACAGGAAAAGATAACAACCAACACAAAGGAATATATATATATATATATATATATATATATATATATATATATATATATATATATATATATATATATATATGCTTATGTTAATTTTACCTCATGTCTATTGTACTTAAGCTTCTGAAGTGTAAGATTGAAAAAGAGTTGTCTTAATTTTACAGGAAATGATAACAACCAACACAAGGGCTCTTGCATCTTTTTCAGCATGTAATGAGGGGATGATTTAACCTAATATATGAATCTCATCTTTCACAACAGTTAATTCCCTTTCACAACAGGTAATTTGGGGAGGGGCCCATGGGCCTGGTGTATTGGGCCCTCACGTGGGCCCCATGGCATTCGATTCCTTCCAGACATTTTGTTATACCTGTAAAAAGAAACTGTATATGTCATGAAAAGAGATTGATACTTATTTATATTTAAGCTAAGAAGACACAAGAACTTATTTATTTATGTGGACAGATGATGCACTAGATTTATCAGGTTTTATTTCATGTTTTAACATCCTCACCATAAGCTAATCAATTACTCAATATTGATGTCTATTTCTTTCTATAACAACACACATCAGCCCATTGTATGAACTATTTAAACAACTGTAGCCTCTAAAACTCTTTCATTATCTGATCACACATTAGTGAACCTATGAAAACCTGTGATGGTATATGGTCAAATAGCACAATCAAATATCAATACTAAGCCAAAGCACTATGGGTAAAGAGAATTCCAGCAACTCAAGACATGATTTCTTAATTTTAAACTCCACCAAAAACAAATGATCAAAAGATTTTACGTACAAAACACATAGCAGTTTTTGCAATAAAACTGTAGCTTACGTGAGTGGATAAAGAGCAAGAGTGAGGCTGAGTAACACGCAAAATAAAACCCTAGAATAAACATACAAACATAGATTTTTGAGATGAGAAATAAAAATGAGAAAAGATGACTAATGAAATCTTTGAAGATAATGAAAGCGATTCTCAGACTCCTAACCTTTCACCGCCATTGTCGTTTTCCAGCTGTCATTGACGACGAATTCCTTAGGCATCGATTATACGTGATTTCCCCAAAGAACTCCCTCGATCTCAAGGGTTGGACCCTGGTAGGAGACATCACTTTTTCTGTATTCTTAATCGGTTCATCTTTCCTTTCTGAACACTGATTATTGTGTGAATGAAACTATTGAAACCAAGTTCATGTAAAATTTGAAGTTCTTTTGTAAAGAATATGATTGAAAGTATTGAATCGGTTCATTCTTTGTGTTGTTTCTTAGTAATCATGGGAACATGGTGGAGGAGTGTTAGGTTTAGAGAGAGATATAAAGAAAGAGAGCTTGTAGAGTAAGGCTGGGAGATTTTTGTTTAGAGAAAGAAAGGTCGTGGGTGTAGTTTGTTAGTAGCTGAAGATGGGTATGATATGGCGTGAGAAGAAGGGAAACAGGCGAAGAAGTCAAAGAAAGCACTACATCTTGATGTGCTCTTATACTGAGTTCTATTAAACATCAAGAAAAGAATCAATGGGACAATACTTGCAACTTGTTGTGTGCAAAAAAGACATGAATGCCCCCATCTCATCATCAATAATGCCAATAGATATATAGGTGATTGCGAGCTAAAAGCATTAATAATGTGAAGTAATTCATCATGAACAACAAATACTTCAATTTGAGAAACGTATATTAGTATTGGAAACTAGAAACTGGATCTGATAAAGGGAGGGGGGATGCAGCTTATGTTCTGTGGAAATTATGCTGTCACAGTGAAGATATCTATGCATGTGTTGAAAGTGCTGAAGCAATTCCTGTTTTCCTATGGTTCTTGAAAACTGGTGGAACAAAGGGACAAGAAGCCTCAGGGAAGGCACTAAGAAAGCTTATACGCATGGCAGATGCTTTGGGGGGACACCCCAAAATCAAAAGCCCACAAAATTGAAGTACTAGTTCATGTGTTTACCATGGCATCACATTATGACCTTGTTCAAAAAGGATCAGATGCTTATAAAGGGTTGAGATCGCTTGTTCAGATTCTTAATTCTTCAAATGAGGAAACACAGGAACATGTAGCTTCTATCTTGGCTGATCTCTTCAGCATTCGTTAAGATATATGTGATAGTCTTGCAACTGATGAGGTTGTGCATCCTTGATGAAGCTTTTAACAAGCAACACTCAAATTATTGCCACTCAATCAGCTCGGGCCTTGGGTGCTTTGTCCAAGAACAAAATCTCTTATATTGTAGAAGGGGATGTGAAGCCTCTGATCAAATTAGCCAAAACATCATCTTCCATTGATGCTGCAGAGACTGTTGTATCTGCATTAGCCAAAGTAAGCAAATCCTCCTGCCAACTAAGCTTTCCGGTAGTACCAATGATGGAAAGAAAATTGCCAAAACCGATGATTTCACCTAATCAAACGTATTGTGTGTTTCTTTTTCATCCCCTTTCCCGTTTCCATGTGTCTTTGTTCCTAGTTAACCCTAGTCGATTATTTCACCTAATCACACATCATCGATTGTTAGTTTCACCAAATATTGGAAGTTTGTTCCTTCGATCGTAAATGAAATAGAGAGAAATTAAGCCGGAAAGAAAAAGAGATTTAGCAAAGCTACGGTTCTTATAGAAGAACGAAAACATTGAGAAGTTAGAATCAAGAAAAACATACCTTAATAAGACATAGGGCTTGTAAATTTGAGTAATAGAAGCAATGAGCCTAAGGTTACCGGACCTAATGTTGCTGGCAAGGGCAGGCGAGGTGAGATTGCCGGAGATGAGGGGCTCCATCGGCTGGGTGACGCTGGAAAGCATTGGATGGTGGGGAGGGGCTAGACGCAGGTCAGAGGTGGGAGGCGCCAACACCAAGAGAAACATCGGAGATGGGACACGCTGTCGACGTCGAGAACTAAGAAGAAGAGAAAGGGTTTGTCAAAGTGAGAAGGAGAGAAAGGGAAGTTGAAGAGAGAAAGAGCAGTACAGGAGGGCATAATCGGGGCAAGTTCTTGAAAAAAGCCCTAGCTACTAGGGAAATTAAAGTGGAGGGAGAAAAAAAGGAAGGCGGGGATTTTAAGTTTTTGGGATTTCATTTTCCCCGGATAGAACGCGCGCGTTCTATTAAAATTTATAAAGCGACAGTCCTAGACGACACGCAGGTGCCCTCCGTGTTTTTATTTTTTTTGTTTAGACACTAATTTTAGGGCACACAAAAATGTGCGTCTGAAATCCTTTAAATTTTGGAAGAGATGACATTATTTTTTAGACACTCACCTTTGCGTATCACAAATCACCGCGTGTCATGGTTCGCGCGTCGTAAAAGGGTATTTTTCTAGTAGTGGTCAAACCACAAAAGTCAACCTCTTCGTATCATAAATTAATATCATTATTTCTTATTTTTAAGAAATATAAAGTTCGTTTAATTATTTTAATATTATTTTTAAATGAACGGGTGAAAGAAAGTGTCATCTCAGGTTTTGATTTTTGAAAACCGCAAACACTTCACGTATTAGAAACACCCGACCAAACTTTTATGTTTTGGGTTTATAATTCACCCAAAAACCGTGAACTCATACATATGTATGAGTTTACTCCCCAAAAAATAGTCATTTGTGTTTACTCCCCAATAGTCAAAAGAGTAAACTCCAAAAACTCTCTCAACTATCATCCAACATTTAATTCCAAATCTTCGATCTTGTAAGTGTTCTAACCATTTCAAGTTAGTAAAACACTTAATCTAGTGTTTGTGCATCTATTCATCCATTCATTTATGTATTTTGTTTAGATTTTCCAAAACACCAAGAACACACACTAAGTGTTCTTGGCCTTTTAACTCAAATCAAGCATCATTATAGTAAGCACTTCCATCATTGGGTGCTTGTAAGCTAGTATATCATCTAAACACCAAGAAAATCAGTCAAGAACACCATGCTTGAGGTGTTCATGGTCCAAGATGATGCTTGGGCCGTAAACACCATAAAGTCCCCCAAAATTGACTTAAGTCCCATGTTTAGCCCTAGTTTGAAGTTTAAGACGTACCTTAACATATTTAAACCTGCCATTGATGTGTTTAAGCTTTGAAAAACACCAAACACCACCATTTATAGGTGTTTACGGTCTAAGGATATCCCAAAACCGTAAACACCCAAAAGGGTGTTTAAATGAGTCATTTTATTTCCTTAACCCTAAACGCTAACTTAGACATTTACCAAGATGTGTTAAGGACTTGAAATCATGGCAATATCTGTAACATCCTGGAATATCAAGAGTAGAGTTGAAGGGCTAAAAGTGAAAATGTATAAGGGAAACTCGGCGAGTCCATGGGTGGACTCGGAGAGTAGAGTCACGACTCTGGTCGCTTGTTAAGTGACCAACTCGGCGAGTCGGCGGCTGGACTCGGCGAGTTGGTGTTGGGTGAAGAAAACCCTAATCTTCAGGGTTTGCCCCCTATTTATAGGATGTTATGCCTTCTCTTCAGCCTCTAGGTACCCTGAGAGTTCTAGAGAAATCCCTTATTGTGAGAAATTCCATTATTGAGAGGATTAAAGCTTGGAAGAAGGGATTTGTGAAGAGAAGTTGGAGGAATTCGAGGATAGCATCAAGAGGGCTTGTGGATTTGAAGTCTTTATCAGTTTAGGCTCATCTTTGGGTATTGGTGTTAGTCAGTGGTGGAGATCGTGTCAGTGGTCGGAACATCTTGGTCTTATCTTTCCAATCAACCATTGTGAGGTGAGTTATCCTCACTATATCAACTGGGTCTAAGGCACCAAGGCCGGCCCTTTATCGGATTGTAATCCGGGTATTGTTGTTATGTTGTTGTTTTACTATGTTTGCATCTTGGTAGTTAGGACGATATTCGTTAGAGACCTGGTTAAGGTCAGTATCCTGGTATATAGGGAGATGTTATGCTAGTGACCGGTTAGGTCGGTATCCTGCTTAGAGTATGTTGTGTTACGTGATCTGCTAGATCGGTTTGATTTAATGTGAATTGTTATATGATTGTATGTTGATGTGAACATGGTTGTTTGACTAGGGTTGGTTTGAGGCGGGACCTGCTTTGTGATGTAGTCCAACATACCCAGGGTGGACCGATTATTCCGAAGGCCCAGCGAGCGGTCCGGATAGGCTGTAGGCCCCACGAGGGCGGACCAGACGTGCCAAGGCTCAAAGAGTGGACCAGGCCGACTGAAGGCCCGATGCGGGTGGACCAGTCATACTGTAGACTCAGAGAGTGGACCAGCTAGGTTGAAGGCCCAGTGCGGGCAGACCAACCACACTGCAGACTCGAGGGACATGACTGGACTCGAAGGGTGGACCAGGTGGACTGAAGGCCCGACACAGCGGACCAGTCACACAGTAGACCCGATATGGATGGTTGTTCTGTGATTCAATGTGATATAGCATGTTATGTGTATGGTATATGTTGTTGGTATTTTGGGGGTATCTCACTAGGCTTTCGGTCTTATAGTTGTGGTTTAATGTTTTTCAGGTTCTTCAGGAGACCGTGGCAAGGCAAAGGCGTGATCGTACCGCTCCTCGAGTTTGTGTTTTATGATATGGTTCTGGGAATACTCTGATAATAAATGTATTGAAAAGTTTAATTGTTGTTGAAATTTTTGGTCGTTACAAGTTGGTATCAGAGCTTTGGTTTGAGTGAATTGGAGGAACATTTGTGTGAATCCAGTCTCAAATCAGGGAGAGTCTTTAAAAGCGAATTTAAAATGGTTTTCAAATTAGGTAAAAGGAGGACGCGGAGGTACGATCAGCCGGAGCCAGTAAGTAACCCCAAAATACCATACAAGATATTTGTTTTCGAGCTTTGATAGAACAGCATGCTAGTATTAGGCTAGGGATCTTCAGGATTTCATGATAATGTTGCCTGTTTTATGATGCCTGCTAGCCTAGGGTTTCCTTCTGTATGAGATTTTCAGTGTTCCCCTAGGAGTGAGGATTGAGCGCTTGCTATGTATATTTGTCACTAGAGTGTTGTGGTAGTACTTCATATAAATATGGGTAGGTGTGGAAGGTAGTATGCGCCCATACTCTTGAAAGCACAGGACCCATACGCGTATCAGGGAAACCATGACCTCTAGGGTTGGGTTGAGAGTTGGTTCCCGGGTTAGTGGAAAGTATCTGAGATATTGTGGTGTTTTTTAGTATGGTGGTCACGAGGCATGCTGGGAGCGGATCTGGGTCGGGATCGGGAGCAGGAGAGGGAGGTCAGGGCGGGTCTGTACCGCCCGAGGTTGTTGGTTAGTTGAGCACGGGTGAGTTGGATGCTAGGATTCGTGAGATCCTGCATGATGAGGTTGTTGCGTTGTTCCGGGCCGAGCTGCCGGAACTATTTGGGTCGATCAAGACCGCCATGGTGGAGTATTTTGATGAGCGTTATGCGGCTCTCGCAGAGACGGTTGCCGCCGCGGCTACATCGGCTCTAGCATCGGCAGGGGGAGGAGCTAGTAGAGGATTCCAATATCGGGACTTCGATAATACGAAGCCCCCTACCTTTGATGGATTTTAGGACCCGATTATTGCTATGAGATGGTTATCAGACGTGGAAGGGTGTTTCTTCACATGTTCATGCCCTACTGATCAGAGGGTGAGGTGTGCTCTGAACCTGTTGAGGCTTGGGGCGAAGGATTGGTGGAGATTGACCACGGGGTCATATTCGGATGCTAAGAGGGCTGCGGTTCATGGGATCAGTTCCGAGAGATGTTTAGCACTCGTTATGTTCCGCGGGTTGAGAAGGAAAGATTGGCTCAGGACTTCCTTGAGCTAAAGCAGGATTCGGAGTCAGTGACGGAGATCACCAGGATGTTCACTTAGAGAGCGATGTTTTGCCCCGAGTTTGCTTCGGAGCAGGCTCAGATGTCCCGATATCTGAGTATGCTTAAGAGGGATATCAGACAGTTCATGTCTACGCAGAGGTGCGACACCTTGTTGGAGTTGCAGGAGGCCGCTAGGCGGCGTGAGTTGGAGATTGAGTTGTAGTTGCGAGAGTAGAGGCAGGCTCCGGTGCATTCGCAGCCGGTGCCGAAACGGTCTAAGACCGTCGATTCTAGATTGGGAGATCAGAGCAGCCACACTTGTGGGAAGTGTGGGAAGGGTCACACCGGAGTTTGTCGGTCCGGTGGTGCATGCCGCAAGTGTGGAAGGGAGGGGCACTATGCGAAGGATTGTCGGCAGGCAGTCCCGAGTCGGGATTTGAGGATCTGTTATCATTATCATCAGGTTGGGAACTTGAGGGTCAACTGTCCACAACTTACTGCAGGACCGGTGTAGGCTCCAGCACCGGCCACGTTGAGGATCACGGGTGGAGGTCAGGATGGTGCGGAGCCCCCAAGGGCTCAGGGTCGTGCTTTTCAGCTTACAGCGGAGGAGGTCAGGGCAGTGCCGGATGCAACTGCGGGTATGTTCTTCTTGATGCCTTATTATTTTATGATTATTGTGAAGTATTGTTTATCTGCTAGTCTCGTTGCATGGTTTTCGATATTGTATTCTTTGATTTTGAGGGTTATGGGATGGTTATGGGCTTTGTGTTAGAAATTTTGTTGGTTATCATTCATGAGGGTTGTTCATGTGAATCGGGTGTTGGTCAGGATATCGGGTAGCATCTGCATTCTGAGGAGTGGTTAGCTGAAGATCGAGTTTCTTTCAAGAATGGGATGATCAGTGTTGATGTGTGATTTGTGAAGATTGCTCGTGTTAGTGGGAATCGGTTCGTGTGTAAGTTTTTGTGTCAGGAAGGTCTGATGAGGAAGGTCGGCAATGGCGACCAGTGGTTGATAGTCAGTGCTCTAAGTGGGAGAGAATTGGGGAATTCTCCGGAGAAAAATCGATGAGTATGAAAGGTTGTTTAGCTGCATGGGATTCAGTAGTGT